TCGCAATACCATGGTCGGAACTACCTGCTATATTCGTCGAAGCCTTGAGAATCGTTCGCCACACTGGCTTCCGGTACCTGTGGGTGGATGTACTGTGTATTATTCAAGACTCACCATCAGACTGGGAAATTGAATCCGCCTCAATGACTTCAGTTTATAGCAATGCGATCTGCAGCATAGCCTTCTTGTTTCCGCCCGGAAGAGGTCTCATTAAAATACGGGAAGACCCGAGGACCATGAGCCCCTGCGTCATCCGTAAGGCATCTAGGACCAGCGAAGGGATCTACATCGTCGCTTCTCCGGGCCGGTATGTGTCTGGTTCCGCAGCTCCCGGAGAGCGCGAGATATTCACATCTAGATTCAATTACCACGAATGGCCTATATCTCAGCGAGCATGGACTTTCCAGGAGCATCTTTTAAGCCCACGCACAGTATTCTACGGACACCAAACCCTCATGTGGGAGTGCGTGGAGGAGTTCTGTGATGAGCTGGCGGGCTCATGGCTTCCAAAGACTGAAACCCGGCTTTACAACCGTAGTGATGGCTACAAAAACCGGAAGGTTACGCAGAAATCGCATCTTCTAGCAAGTCATGTTGCGCACAGACGTAATACTTCAAACTCGTTTGCAGACTATGAGCACGTCCTGGAGTATTTCGGAAACTGGAAAGATCTAGTTTGGGAATACAGAGCGAGGGATCTAACTGTCCCCAGTGATAGACCTGTCGCCTTTGCTGGTGTCGCCCGCGCTTTCCAGGCTGAAGCACAGATTACTTATCTTGCCGGTATCTGGGCAGAATCCTTTCCTGAAGGTTTACTGTGGTATATAAGTGCCGAGCCTTACTGGGATAAAGACGGGGAGAGATTGCCAATATCTAAATCGATACGTGAGCATGGATCAAAAAAGGTACCGTCCTGGTCGTGGCTCTCGAGCCATCTTTACGTGGATCACCCGCTCAAGTACTTTGATCGATACGATTACTGGAGTCCGAACAGTCATGGCGACGGATTCCAAGCCAGCGACTTACTATTCTTAGCGCAGCTTTCTTCCTTCCAATGGTCGGGCTGGCCTGTCAATATGATGCCTCCAACAGCATATCACGACTTCTCTGGACTGCATATCACACTACAACTACCTACGTTCGAGGAAACCCGAGTAGTAAGCGACGATCCTTTGCACGCTGAGTGTCTTTGCTTGAAGGAGAAGCTTGCATCTTTCTACATCAGGCCCCCTGAATGTGAAAAACACACCTGGACTACCTTACAGTGTGATGATATCGAATATCACACCCAGCCTCCAGAGAGAGTTCTGCTGGCTCTTCTGGTTGAGACGCGGGTTCCTTACTTTCCGTCAAGCATTTTAGCAGGCCTAGCGCTGATTCCCGGTGAAAAAGAAGGTACATGGAAACGTATTGGATATTGGGACGCTCAGATAGATCTGCCGGTGGACGAGGTGCTCGATACTAAGCAGACTGGTCCAGGGTACAAGCATACGTCAAGACAGTGGCAGCGAAGCGATCCATCGGTTTTCTTGCGCCTCGAAGGAGTCAAGATGGAAAGACTTACTTTGGTCTGAACATCTCGTAGCGTCTTGATGGTGATCTGTGTATCTAGCAACCGTCGCACGATAGGCAATGCAATGCACTGTAAACACGATAAGTAGAAATCTGAGTCTTGTACGCATACAGGCCATGGATTCAGGAAGCTCAGCATGGTGTATAGCGGATCCGAAGATAAAAAAGGTGTGGCGTCTCTGCAGCCGAAAGCGAAATATGTAAGCCTGGGGAAAACCAAACCTGGTCCGCGGCTTAGATCAACACAAAAGCATGCAAAGCAGGTAACCGAACGATGATGTAGGCTCTAGACCTGTTCAGGCTTTTTTTGTAGAAGGTGGAAAGAAGGTTTAAGTCTCAAAAATATATACAACGAGAACAAGCAAGATGCTCAAAAGCCTCACATAAAGACACACCTGCACGACCAGCGTCTATCCATGTGCCATCAACCAGCTCAATAGTCCTGCGCAAACTCCCTCGTATCCTTTATCCCCTTCTTCCACGCAGTACTCTCACTAGCCCCCTTAACCTTCTTCGCCAACTTCGCATTCAGATTCGTAACAACACCCTTCGCAACCGGCTTCCCAAGATTATCGCTCATCGGCATAACAACATCACACCTAAGCGCCTGCGCAGGGCTCATACGCTCCATCTTAGTGTTGTTAGTCTGAATGAAGAGCCTCTCACGCGACTTGGGGCCAGTGTAAGGCTTCCACTCGACAGCGCGTTCGGCGCGGTCAGTGTTGGGATCGAGGTTGCGGATGAAGCTCGTCCAGTAGCTGCGGACTTGGTGGATGATGGGCGCGTTGGTGGTGAAGTAGCTGGCTGGCTCGCTGTTGTCGGTGCGGTTTACGCCCCAGAAGGCGTAGGCGTTGACGGTGTGCCAGGCGCCGTAGCCGGCGGCCTCGTCGGCAGGGTCCTGTACGGCGTACTTGTAGTTCCATGTCGGTACGTCGTCGGCTGCGATCGCGTTCTGAATGTTGCGCGTAGGGCAGTGGGTTCCAATGTCGCCGATGGCATCAGCGGCGTGGCGCCAGTAGAGGCCTTTGCCGGGGAATGTAGGCTTCTTGGGCTTCATGTAGAGATCATCGAGGATGGAGATGGAAGAGTTGCTGAGACTTGGGTCCTGGTTGGCTACCCATTTGACGGCATCGGCTGTGGTGTTGAGATCCTCTGGTGCGTTGTACTTGGTGCCTTCTTGGGCGCAGGTTCCCATGATGGTCGGAACCTTCGCGTACTTGCCCTGTTCGAAAAGATTGACGAGTGAGTCGGTGTAGAGGTCCCCGTCGATGTTGGGGTTGAACCAGCAGTTGGAAGTTCGGATGGCCGACTCGTTCAATGCGCGCAGGCAAGAGAGGCCGTTCGTCGCATTGGCACAACCCTTGTCTTCGAGCAAGCACTGATATTGCTCTTCGCCCAGTTCCGGGGTGCGCATTGTGACCCAGCCGCCCGACTCCATGATACCACCAGCGAACAGCTCCTTGCCGGTGTTGGCCGCTAGCATGAGTGCAACAGAAGAACCACCAGCACTGACTCCATCAAGCACAACATGGTCAGGGTCGCCGCCGAACTGGTCGATGTGCTCCTTAACCCACTCGAGAAGCTTGATCTGGTCGCGAAGTCCAGCATTGACGTCGCCACCTCCAGCCTTGACCGCTTCACTGCTGAGGAAACCGTAGAGACCCACGCGGTAGCTGAACTGAACGAAGACGACCTGACCATCGGAGACAATCTCCGTAGGATCCCAGTTCGCGCTGGACTGCGATGAGAAGCCTCCTCCCTGGAAGAAGACCACCACTGGCAGCTTCGAGTCGACTTTGGCCTGCGAAGGCGCATAGACGCTCAGGTAAAGGCAGTCTTCCGCGACGTGGAAGCGATCAGTGGCTCCAGAAATGGTCCAATCATCCGGACGGTTGGGTGGGCATGTTGCGCCGTGCCTAGTCGCGTTGATGAGTCCGGAGACGATAGGGTCCTGCGGAGCTGCGAAGCGTCGTTCGCCGGTAGGAGGCGCCGCATACTGGATGCCTTTCCAGGCAGAGACGCCAAGCTGAGAGTCAACGACGGCTCCCTGGTACTTCGCGTAGCCAACATCGACGAGAGTGTTAACGGCCTGCGCAAGTGAAGAAAAGCCCGCTCCAGCGGCGAGCAACTGGTGAAAATGCCTCATCTTCGAGATGAAATATGAATGGAAAATGAACGTAGACGAGCAATGCTCTGGTAAAGAATGGATACGTGCGCAAATGCACGGAAGTTAGGCTGGGTGGGCGAAGAAACGACTGACTGTTGCGTCAACTACAACCTCCCTATGATGAGCATATAAATCCATTCCTCCGGATCTTCATGGATGCGCTCGAGACGTATCAAGCCCGTTATCGCCGGGATGTCATATATGTGTTGCGTTCGGACCGCACGCAGAATGGACGTGGAAATTGTGCTTTCATGTTGCTGTGCTGTTCAGAGTCGGGCCGTTGAGTGATGCGGCGATTGAGCTGTTTCACGGCGGCATGGCAGGGTGTCGATGCATGACCCGACCTAGCCTCGAGCAGAAAGAGGCCATTATTCCAGGGGTTTCTGGGGAGCCGATCGTGTTCGTCCGCAAATCACGGGCTCTAGTCCGCTGAAAAATGATTTGAAATGGATTGTTGATGAGTAAACGCGAAGGAGCGAACGCGCGGGGACGCTAACAATAGCGCACTAGTCGTCGTTATGTAAGCACAATAAGAGATTGAGAGGATCGCCAAGCCGTACCTAGAGTTGAGTCTACGGAACATCTACATCGTGATTCCGTCCACAATGTAGCGCTGACAGCAGGATACATGCGGTCGTAGAGCTCAGCATTGAGTCTACATGCCTTTTACCCCCACGGCCCTACCGGCGTGTCATAGACCCCAGCCTGCCCGAATTTCTGGAACAGCTGGGCATCGCGGAAACGCCACCATCCACCATGTGGCTTTGTATATCGACACCAAAATGGGAAACCCTCAGCAAGACAATGCTCTCGATACACCTGTTGTGTATAACCGACGTAACATCCGTAACTGTGACCAAGCGGTCTCCAGTCCTTGTTCCGTGCATCAGCTCGACCTTCACGAGATGTCGCAGGTGTGTCGAGCCAAGTCTTTGACTTTCTCGCAAACGCAGAACGTCGGTTCCGGTCGCGACAAGGAGCGGGTTTAATCTTGACATACGGGACCATGTCGTTGTAGAAATGTCTGTCCACACAGGCAAACAACTTGCGAATACTGGCGTCGTAATCTCGCGGTAGAAATGGGCGTTCGATTTTGATCCATTCGGCTAAACTTCTCACCTCGTCAAACTCCCATGTCGTCCACATCGAGAACAAGCTTCTGATCTTCCGTTTGAAGCCTTTCCCTTTTCCATAGAGTTTCCGGATTACAGCGTAGAGTTGCAACCGGAAAAATGCACGAAGTACACGATGATGCTCGACATCAGACAGGGTATCGGTACCATAGTGAGACTGATCGGATGAGGTCCACCGAGCTACTGCATTGCCTAGTGCTATGTGAACGAACTGATCTGTAAGGATATCCGCGTCGATTAAGAGTGCTTGGTACTCGGCGAGCATGCCGACAGCATGATCAGGGCTATCCACTGATATACGCAGGTTTTCATCGTGTAGATTGCTGTTCAAGAACTCAGCTAGCTGCTCGCTTGAGCGCGGGCGGTTTGTATGCGTCGAAAGTAAGGCCGTAGTTGTTAGGATATGCTGAAGCTGGCTAGCGAGATAGCGGTGCTGTTTGATCGCTTTGAACTGCGCAGCAAAGTTGCAGCGGACCAAATCGCGCATCTCTGGATGCTCGAGAAGTGTGTAGTAGGCTTCGAAGTGCTCGTCCTTGATGAGGAGCTCTAGTATGCAGCAGCGTAGCTCTGTCGGCAAATTGAGCATCCGCTGCAAGCCGTAGCCGGTCGAGTCGTCAGATCCAGGCGGCGCAGTCGCGTTTGCATTTTCGGGTGGCGGCATGGCATCAGATTGGGAAGCAAAACTTTTGTGTAACTCCATCGTAGTGGACGAGACGCGCGGATAACGGAGATTTGCGAGAGATGGTGATGCAGACTGCTGCAGAAAAATTGACCTCGGAATGATTCCAAAGTGCGCGGTATCCCGTACCGGTAGCGAGCAGCGAACCACTAACAGGCACGACCACCAACCAAGGTATCCGAATTTTCAGCTTCCCTCCAAGGTTCTGACGGGTAATCATCTCCTCATCCGCGTCCACTACCAAACGAAAGGTGCCAGCCCAAGTTCGCAATCCGGACCTGGGGCATAGGACGGCAGTGGCGGATGGCTAGAGTCATCGACATCGGGGTGGGATATGGAGATGTATGTTGGAGTTTGGCGAATACATGCATGTAGCTATCAGCTACTCTGGGTAGTAGAACTACACGAGGAGTATATTGAGGGTGCTGGATTCGTATGCGACGCTCGTCAAGCTGCTCTTTTAGTACCACAACTCTACGATGCACTGCGTGTTCAATCATCAAAGTTTATTCTTTCTAAAGACTGCATGGGGTAAATTCACACCCTTTGCACTCGAACCAAGCCTACGTATCCATCAAACATTTCTCCCATCTACCTGCCATAACACTACACCAGCGTAACAAGCACAACCTCCCACTTTCCCGACAACACACTCACCTTCGCCCACCTCCCCGCCACCTCGCCAATATTATCCCCATCAACACCCACACCCACAACATTAATCCTCAACTTCCACACACCCACTCTCTTCCATGTCCCCTCTTTACTTCCCGGGACTAACATCAACCCCGCCAACCGCCGCTGCACCGTATTTTTCCCCGCAGTCCTAACAACCTGACACTCCGCCATCAGCGCATATACCGCGTTGCGAGGTGGCGACGCCCTTCCCGCTGGATCGTCAGGGTAATACTCCAGAATTGGTTCCCAACTAAACCCGCGCTGAGAAGACAGCGGAGAATGTTCTTGCAACCGCTTCATTTGGTCCGCTAGATCAGCGGGCCAATCCGCTTTTATAGGCAAAACCAACGTTACGAGTGTGACTTGTAAGCCTGAGAAGTCAAAGGGGCTGGATTCAGATATGCGATCTTGCACGTGTCCAGCGAACTTGAAACCCTTGGTTTCAGCGAAGAACATGTCGGTCCAGCGGACGAGATGAGGTTCGGAATCGCTTTTACACCGGACGACTAGTTCGTCGTCGCTGAAGAGGTGGTGGAGTTGGTAGTACTTCCATATTGGTACTGAGAACCACGACCAACTTGGGAGTGGTGATGTGGTTTGCACGATACCCTCTTCGATTTCTGTTGTCCACATCGACGGTTTCATCTCCGCGCCATTCGGTATCCCATTCTCGAGGCGGACAATCCATTTCGCTTTTTTGTCGACGTACCACAGCATGACTATTGGTAGTATTTCTTTCCACAGGCCGGCTAGGTAGGTGAGTTGGCCCAGGTTGGAGAACGCACGCGCTACGCCTGCGAAAGCTACGATGCGGTCTTTGGAGAAAGAGAGTCTGCGGCTGCGGTACTCATTGACTAGGTTTTGGTAGTCTAGTGCGAAAGAGAGAATAGCTGGGGAGGTGAGGCTGTTTGTCTTTGCGAGTGTGTTGATCTCTTTGATGGTGTTGGGGAAGTACCGAGATTTTCCTCTGTCTTTTCCGTGCAAAGATACTTGAAGCGTCGTCGTCGTGGGACCTGTCACCGGTGGTTCTGCAATCGGCCCAAGCAATTCATCCCAAAACCCTTCCGAGCACTGCCACATGAGATTCTTATGCCCCAGCAGCAACGTCCGCGGCGCAAGAAGATACTCCTGAAACGTCCATGCGCGATTGAAGAGCGGCCAGTTGCGTTGAGCGAGCCAGTCTCTACTCGCCTCTTCCGTGTCGAGGGCGAGACGGAGTGAGGACTTCGTGTGCTCAATATATATACCAGGTGTATGCGAAAATGAAGCCCGGAGGATACATGGATTCGAAGATCGTGGGTCTTCGCGACGGGATGGTGCAGAGGGTGAGTGGGGTGGGAAGAGGAAAGCGAGGTTGGCTGTTGCGTTGCCGTAGACGATAGCCATGCGGCGTGCTTCGTAGGTCCAGTCTTCATCTGAGTCTTGGATTATGGCTAGGCTGTCTATCCAAAGGTAGCGGTAGCCTAGGGCGAGCGTGACGCGGATCGCTTCCTTGTATACGTCTGATGCCTCCAATTGGGCTCGAGGGATCTCTTTTTGAAAGGCGTTAAGATTGGATTGACGGAGCTGGATTTGTTGGGTGTAATTCGTTCCCCACATGTAGCTTAAGACGAGGTAGTCAAAATGCTCGTTCTGCATATTGCAACGGAGGCGAATGGTGGTGGGTGTGATTTCGAGGACACGCGTTGGTCGTTGCTGGGGGTTGGAAACGGTGCTGCTGTGGAATTTGCGACATGCTGTGTGTTCTGACAGACAGATATTCAGCCACTGCTTGGCTTTCTGGATGTTATCGCGAGCGAGGAGGGGTGTTTCCCTGGCTGTGATGTGGCTGTTGAACGCTCCAGTGGTGGTGTCTACCAGCCTTCGTCAGTAAGCGACCAGGGAAAGCGATTTGCTAGAACTCACTATCAAAAGTCTGCAACTTGAACATAGCAAAGCCTCTCCCATCATCCTCGCTCCTCATTTCACCTCTGACCAGCCTCATCCGGAGTAGTAATTCTGTACTGCTCCTCTCGGTTCGGGGACACGCATAAACACCCTCATCGCCAGCCGGGCGTATACCGCGTGCAGCTCCATGCTGCAACTCCGCAAACATCATCTTGCAAAAGTGGCAAGATGGCGCTGACTGAGAGAGTTGAGTGACGGTGCACAAGCGCGAGAAGGGCCATGATGGGGCGGGATGCCCACGGGGTCTCTGCAGCCAATTCAGAGCACTGCACTCGTTTGAGAACTTGCGGCATCGCTCGCAGAGTTTGTGAAGTGGAACTGATGCTTTGGCAGTCGAGGACGGTGGAGAAGAGGGTCTAGATGAAGGGGTAGGTGGGGGCGCTTTCCCGCTTGCGGAACGATCGCGGAACGATGACATGAATGAAGGCATGATTGGGTGCTTAGGGGACAACCTTGGAAGAACTGAGATGCAACATGGCAAGCCCTTTCTTGCGCTGCTGCATACTTATAAGCAGCCCTCGAATGTTCAGCGGGTAACGATCAATTCGGAAGCATACCGTCGAGGTCGGGCGCTTACTAGACGCCAACCCGTCGAATCGCCCGTGTGGCACAGCAGCGCTTCCGTTTCGGCACAAGTAGGTTGCGCATGCATTTCCGAGCTGGAGAACATCGCTGCATCGTTGTGAGCGTTTAGTAAAGGACAAATATGGAAGTGACGAGATTGGGAAGGAGCGACAGGCCGATCACGTACGAGAAACTTGTCAAAGGCTATAGATGGAAAGGACGAAAGTAGGAAAGCACGAGACGAACATCAAGAATGCAAGACTGGAGAGAGACATAATAAGTCGAGAACACATCTCGAGGAACTGATATCAAATTGGGTATCCGCCAACACACCCTCAGCAGCAGGCGCAACACTATTCGTATCGTAACAAGTACAAAGCCCTGCGGCAACATCCATCTAACCTAACAACGCCAAACATGACCATGTAATGTAGTCAAGTAGTAAAGACGCCTTTGCAAATATGCAAATATCCCAATGCATAGTATGAACAGAACTGCGTCGCTAAATGAGGAAAGATGGTAAGGAAATAGTAGTCGTTAATGCGGAGGCGACAAGGTGCGCGAGGCCCATCCTGCAGAGGACTGAGTACGCCCACATGGGAGTGAGGGAGGGAGCTAGTCGTAGAGGTTGCCCTGTCATCATTTGGTAGTGAGATGAGGAGGGGTAGGGCGACGTGCAGCGGTGTCGTGGTGAAACTGCCAGGGTCGGATGATGGGTGATCCGATGACATAATAGCGCCGATGAACCACCGGTGGGAAACGGCGGTGGGGAGGGTAGCGCAATCGTGAGATAAGTATCACGGGTGCGAGATGGTAAGAGAGTTTCGTGCAGGTGGGTATGAGGTTGCTGCTCAGAGGATGCGTTTTCTGATGATCGTTAGTCATTTGATGCATGTTGGTTGTGCATAAAGGAAAGGACTCACTGTCTGAAGACGGTCTCGAGGGCGACGGCGCTGAGCTCTGAATCATCGGGCAGGCATTCGACGAGCGGTATCAGGTCTGCGAACTTCTCGCCGCCTTTGTATGCCAGGACGGCGGGAACACCGGTGTCCTCGATCTCGGCGTCGTCGTTGTACATCTTGACGAAGCGGACGGTGTCGTTGCGCTTTGCTACCTCGTGCATGACCTTCTCGAACATTTGTGATACCTCGGCGTATGGCTATGGTGCTGTTAGTAGGAGTTGGATAACGGATGGAGTGTTGTGTATACATACATCACTGTTGTAGATGAAGACGACAACGACAGTACTCGACGCCGTCTTGTCAACAGCATCGAGGTACCCCACACCATCCACCAACGGCATGCTTCCATATATCCTCCGGCTGGGGCTGTTGGTCCTCGACCGTATCCTCTCGCCAACATTCTGCAGTTCCTTCAACCTCGCCTCACGCCATTGGCGCATGAAGCCCTCGTCGACCTCGTCATCACTGCTCGATGTCTTCTCGTCGTGATAGGCATTGACATTGTACTGTGCGGGTGCGGCGTTCTTCTTCCATGTGAATCGGCGTGCTTGCTTCTTGGCCTGCTCAAACGCCTGGGCGTCCGCAATGACACCCTTGGGCCCCGTGTTGGCCTCTGAGCGCAGGTTGGGCATGTAGTAATTCGCCCTCATGTCGGCTGGGATGTCGAGCTCGTCGTCGGTATCGATCTTCTCGAGGTAGTCGTCGGCGGCACCAGGGGATTCCGGGTCGGAAAGGTCGGAGTCGTTGTGTCGGTCTTCGGGGTGGCGGTCTTCGCGGTCCTTGTCTCTGATCAGTTCGTTGAATTCGTCTTGAGCGGCTGTAGTCATGACGAAAGAAAAAGAAGAGCGGGACCCGAATGACGGGCGCCGGACTGATATATGTGTGGAGAAGGGGGACGGTCAGCGTCAGCTGTTTGCAGAGTCCGTGTACAGGTCCCGGTGTCTGGTGACGCGTTGGTCTGTGGTGAGCAGAAGGAAAGGGAGTCGTTGCAAGGTTGGGGTCGGTCGTCTGGGATGGTGCTCCGCTAGATGACAGGCCTTGGCGTGCGTGCTTGCAGGGCTATTTTCGAGTACGCGCTGGGGTTTCAGCGATGCAATTGGACGCGCACGGGAGAATTCCCTCGAGGATTCCAACGTGCGTACGTGGATAACGTGGTCGAGGCGGTACGGTGTGTAGGGGTGTGCTTGGTAGGTGCTGTTTTAGGGCTGATGCTGACCGGCCGATTTCACGATGCATTAGACGCCCGCACGGGGCCGCATCGCATTCCATTGGCGAAGCGCAAAGGCATGTCGGCCTTATGAAACAGGATGCTCGAGTGCGAAACACGCTCACCCGCCTGTACACCGCCCAATCGAGGACCCGCGGGTGGCGCGCAATGGCTTGGGGCGCCGCGTGAAAGCCTGACGACTGCTGAAACACCATGCCGAACTATCTTGCTACACGCCTCCTCGACACGTCTGTCGCAGCATCAACCTGCCCTATCCTCGCTGCTGTTTGGAGGCTACACGTCACAATGACCTTACGCCTCTGCTAACCCTCTCATGCGCTCTCGATGTTTCAATCTCCTCGAGGCACCAACTGTCATGCAGCACCAGAGTTCCATGGCACCGCCGACCAAAAGGGGCCGAGGGATCTCTCTTTCGGTCTTGTTTGATATTCTCGTCCCGGCCACATCCCGGATGCGAGTCCCCCGGTGCACATGCAATGGAATCCTTCTGTGCTCGCTTCTAGAAGCATTAATGCCATCCATCGCGTTCCTATTCTCCGATCGACTCCTGCATCGGCTGAGGCGCTTCCTTTTGTCGATTCCAGGGTCCAGTTGCCATGCAGCCTAAGATTGCGGGCATTAGCTGAGGCACGTTAATGCCAAAGACGATGGTTCGATACATTGATTTCTCTTCGAAAATAGAAAGACGTTGCATAACCGCCCGGGTGAAAGTAAAATACGACGTGGCTCCTGCGTCTTCTACTCGGTCGCTCTGCTGTCATCCATGAAGATCACAACCATAATCTATCAGCCCTGCCCGACGAACGCTTAAAGTACGGTCACGCTACCATCACCACAATAAGCTCTGATCGCTGATACTCCGGCTTGTCACTGCTTGTCCCGGAGTGACGTCCGGATGGGCAATTGGGGTCCCCTGGACAACCTAGTCATATGCATAACGGTGTGCGCGCCACTAGATTCGCGAGCGGGTATCATCCCAGGTGGTGCAATCACCTTGGAGCTGTTAATGCCTCGCACAATGGCCTAGGCCAGCATGCGAAAAGTAACTTCTACCGCTGAGGCTACAGTAACCGCTGAGAGCGCCGAACAACAGTCGCGACAAGGTCTAGAAGGCACGTTGACGTTGATTACTTCTTTCACGAGCTGACCTGGACTGAGCGCACTCAAACCTTGGAATGCTCGAGACGTTCCAAGGTTCATGGAAAAGGCAATATCAGTCATCTTCTCATCATGCAAAAGCGTTCGATAAACTTAAAAGAGGTATATAGAAACTCGCTGACTACCGACTCATCCTTCACAACCCAATCAAATCGTACACATTGAAAGCCCATGCGCCAGAAAGCCATGATCCGTCCATTCAGTCCCCCTCATCCATGGATTCTCCAAAACCATTTGCACGTAGTAGAATCCGAAACATACAGTAATGAAGCTCCCCGTCTTGCACAGCCCCATCTCTTCCCACGCAAGTGCAAGTACAATCGGTCGCTTTTAATGATCAGGCAGAACGCAAGGAGAAGACTATGTCGAAGGTTGATGTAGATAGGTGCTACTCATGTACGTAGAACAGCCGGCCCGGACATGAAGACGAGTGTGAGTAGTATGCTCGCACCGTCGAGAAAGGAATAGAACAGTGGTATGAAAAGAAAAAGTAGTTTGAGCACAAAAAGATTCCGGGCGCCGGGACATCAGTTGGCACCGTAGCCACATCGACGATTCCAACAGGTGCGAGTATTATATTCTTAGAGTATGGCAGCGCTCAGTCTCCTGGTTGATAAGATGCAGCAGGGGTATGGTATGCCAGGAGTTGCGGAGATCGCTGTCGTAGGTTGTAGTTTGCCAATATTACGGTAAGGCGCACACGTTCGGATTGGCGTCGTTACATGGCGTCGTGGAAGTTCGGGAGGCTGACGGCACTTATGCCCAAATGCGCAGCTATGCCAAGTCAGTTGTGTGATACAGACGGGCGCACGAGAGAACCTACCATTGAGTCCCATGAACCAGTGCATAGACTGAGCGCGTCGTTGCTAACGCCGAGACAGCTGACGCGGTTGTCGTGTCCTTGCAATGTGCCTACGCGTTCGCCGCGGAGTACGTCCCAAACCTGGATATTATTAGACTGTGGAAACTGTGGGGGCTGCGCTGACTGCTTACCTTGCACTCGAAGTCGTCGTAACCAGCAAATAGCAGTCTTCCGGAGACGGAGAAGGCTACGGATGTGATACCGCAGACGGGCTCAGGAATCTATGGCAGACATTAGTAATCCAAATGCCAAGCGTGCCAGATATGTCAACGGGCGTACCTGGTATGATGCGAGCTCGCGGTCGGCGCGGATGTCGAACAGACGGCAGGAGGCATCGTCGGAACCGGTACCGAAGGCATTTCCGTTGGGGAAGAATTGGATGGCGTTGATGTCAGAGTCGTGCGCGGCAAAGGTCTGTACGCACTTCTGCTGTCTGATGTCCCAGAGCTTCGCGAAGGCGTCGCAAGCACCGGAAACAAATTGGTTGTGGTCGAGCGGGTTGATGCTCAAGCTCATCACGTCGCCGAGATGGTCGGCGAACTCATGTACCTTGGAGCCAGTCTCCAGATCCCACAACACACAGGTCATGTCACCAGATGATGTAAGGATGCGCTTATCACTGATGAATCTGCAGCAACTGAGGTAGCCCGAGTGGCCGGACAGCTCGCGTGCCACACGTGTTGGGCCTTCCCGTGCGGACAGATTGTAGATGGAGCAGATGTTATCGAGACCACCACAGGCGACGTAGTTGCCGGACGGGGAGTATGCGCACGTCATGACCCAGGACGATCGCAGGGGAATGGCGTGGACCTTGTTGGTCGTGTAGGCGTCCCAGATGATGAGCTTTCCGTCCTGCGAGGCGGAGACGAGATGTCTGCGGTCGGTGGACCAGTGCATGGCGTAGATTTTAGCCAGATGGCCCTTGAGGGTGCGCTTCGTCTTCATGGTGAGGCGCGGCAGAGCCTCGACACGGTCTCTGGCGACATCGCGAACTGCGCTCTTGTGTTAGCCGTCTACGAGGTTCCGATGCGGTGAGCACGCCGGCTGGAAAAAGAACATACGGGTCGTGTCAGCGAGCTCATCCTTCTTGCGCTTTATCCTGTCCTTGAGCGCCTCAGCGTCGCGGCGGGCGAGCTGGATCTTCTGCTGGATCGTTTCTTGGTTCATATCGGCCATATATTAGTGGTGTGCTGGTGGTGAGGGTGCTGTCGCGAGCGGCGCGAAACGGCGAGGCAGGCGAATCCAGGGGCCTCCTAGGGAGCGCGGCAGCCGGAAGCGAGAGAGAGCGGCGGCAGGAGCGATGGACAGGCGACAGCAATGGCTAGACGCGCGCAGAGCAGAATCAATTGCTTGCGCAGAGGGAGCGGCGGCTGGCAAACGGTCGTGGGGGCGTGAGGATGGAAGGGTGAGTGCTTGGAGATGAGTGAGGTACAGGAGCGGCCCGGGGTGAGCTTAGCTTGGCCTAGCCGAGCAACGAGCGCTGGAGATCAAAGGGCGCTGCTCCGCCAGTCTGTCGCGAAGATGCCCACTGCAAACACCTGCCGTGACACGTGAGCGATGTGAAGGGGCGTGAGGGAGCCCTGCGTGCTGTCGGGTCGGGTGTTTGCACTGCTGGAGGCGCAAACGTGGTGTTGCTATGCTCTGCTCCTGTCCAGACCTTGACGAAGAAGGCGCGCGCTGCAATCTCCTGCAGCGCACCTCCTCCTTTAGGCGACGGACGAATGAGCAGCGAGCAGCCTCGGCTGGCACTATGACCCGCGTCCGCCGCTATACCCCCCAGGCCTCCTCCTGAAGTCTATTCACCTTTCCATTATCGCTTCGAGAACCATCCCCACGCCACCAATATCGCCGTGTTCCCCAGCATGGCTGCACTCCCCATCGCGACTGCACACGACCTGCCCGTCGACGCTGCCTTCACCAAGGGCCTGCCCAAGATTGAGGTACTGCTCCAGCCTCCTCGGTCCCTAGTCATCGCGCCAAGGACGCTCAGACTTCCGTTCGCTGCTGCTAATGACGCGACTCAGCTTCATGCCCACTTAACCGGCAGCATCAGTCGCGACTGCCTGCACGCCATATGGGAGACAAAGAAAGCACGGCAGCCTGACTTCGACCTCGAGGACCCCTTGGTCGCCATACCCGCGGGCAAAGTCGACTACGATATCAAAACGTAGGCCTAGCTCGATTTGCTCGTCGTTCGGAGTTCTCGCTGTAACACCGGCGTGCCGTTGGGGATACATGGGCCAAGACGATCGTGCAAGCGAATTCGCGGCCAATGTTCTCCTGACAAATGATCGCTACCCGCTCGGTCGTCCCAGACAACTGGCTCACCACGCGAAAAAATACTAGCAGACGTCTGACAGCTAGATTAGGTTCTTCCCGCTGTTTTCGTCATACATCTATCGCCTTTGCAGTGATCTGCCGAGCATCCAGTATGTCTGTCGACACGGACGTGTATGGTGAGCTGCGGTTGATCAATCTAGGTACTCCACCAGGGCTGTGTTGCAAGACTTTCAGGATGATGGGGTTGTATACGTTGAACTTCGAACAACCCCAAGAGCGATCCTTGAAGAGGGCGTAACCAAGGATGATTACGTGAAGACCGTTTTGGACATACTCAATGCCCATAACGACGATGCTGACAATACCATGCGAGCTTTCCTCATACTGTCAATCGACCGCCGCAACAACATCTCAGACGCGGAAGAAGTCGTCGATCTCGCCATCAAGTATCAGTCCGCCGGCGTTGTTGGTGTCGACCTATGCGGCGACCCAGCGAAAGGTGACATTCGCATATTCGGCGACAGCTTCGCTCGGGCAAAGGCTGCCGGACTGAAGATCACGCTGCACTTTGCCGAGAGCGAAAATTCTTCCTCGGATTTGGAGTTGCAAACACTCCTGTTATGGCAACCTGACAGACTGGGTCACGTCATACATGTCAAAGATGAGTTCAAAAAAACTATCGAGCTGCACGGAATCGGCGTTGAGCTGTGCCTCAGCTGTAACGTCCATGCTAAGATGATCACGGGCACTTACTCGGACCACCACTTTGGAGTGTGGCGACACAGCAGTGTTCCCGTCGCTCTGAGCGTACGTTGAGCTCTGGAAGTTGTGTGTTCCGCGTGATGACTAATACCCAGCAGACGGATGATGTAGGTGTCTTTTGCAGTCCGCTCTCACAAGAGTACTACCTCGCGGCGCAGCATTTCCACTTGGACCGAAAGGATATCAGAGCACTTTGCGAGCGAGCCGTTGAGTCGATCTTTACGGGTCCAAATGAACACGCCCGTCTTCGGGACATCTACGCATCTTGGAAAGATTGGGATATATGAACTACGGCCCAAGCATCAAACAGTCATTCCCCTGATGGCATCTAGTCATAATGACTCCGGTATATGACCACAATTATTCTGCCACGTCTTTCGCAATAGTCATCGCTGAGTACAAGATTATGCAATGTATTCTCCTTCTTTTCTTCCTACAATCTCTCTCATATGAACACTACTACACATCGATTGACTACGCAACAACGCGCCATACACGCTTGTACACCCACACGGCCTATTGCACACTACCGAGCTACGGTCACTATTGCCGGCCACTCAGGCTTCGATCTCTCACGCCGGCAGGGACGTTCGCGACTCCAGCATGGTTATCATCCCACTGAACAGCGTAGTCTTCACGCTCTTCTTGGTCCTTTCTCTAATCGCCGGGACTGCTGCTCAAAGCTCGGCTCAAGCTGGTACCGACACCTCACCAAGCGCATCACAGGCTTCTGTGCAGGCTTCCTCTCAGGCTTCGCAGGCTGCCTCTCAGACTTCACTGGTAACATCTCAGACCTCTCAGGCTACTTTCCAGTCTTCTCAGGTCGCCTCTCAGACCTCTCAAGCTATCTCTCAGGCCGCGTCGCCAAGCACTACTCCGACAAATTCACAAGCTGCCTCCGCGGCGCCCATTGTAGTCCCCAACGTCGACGCGGACAAGAATTTCGTGATCGGCAATACTTGTGACCCCGATCAAAAGAACATCATCAAAACCGCCTTTGTCGGGACTGGCACGTTGGCCTTCTATGGAATGCTGGATTGGTCAAATGCCAATCTTGGACAAGACCCACCCTTCGTGGAGAATCTTGGTACCAGCGCTATTCCGAATGCTAGCACAGTCGAGAGCGTGTTTAAGGACTATTCAAGCGCAACCGTGAGTGCTGCTTGGAAGATCAATGCGGTTTGCGACATCAAGAACGAGACAGCGGCATGTCAAAGTAAACACGTGTATGGCGGCATAGGCAGCGAAGACCCCCGGGTGGACCTCAAACCTAATCTCTACTTTTGTTGGGAATACTTCCGATTCCCTCCTCTGAATGAGGCAGTACAGATGGGCCTGAGCGATTCAGTCGACTGGACGCGCCGGTTCAATATGGGCTCTTATCATGAGAACCAAGGTATGGGAATGCCATCTCGAACATATCCACATGTACCTCATACTAATCTACTAATAGCTTCCGCACTCTTCCGAGCTTTGCTCCACTATCTCCCACAGCGAGAGGGCTGGAACCGGCATATCTCCAACATGTGGGTGTACATGGGATATGCGGGTGGGGCGAGCAAATGGACAGCTTGCTATGGTGTATATTGCACTAAGCTTCTAGCTCAGTTGGCCGACAGTGAAACATGGAGTATTCTTAATGGTATACATTCGACAACAACAAGAACTCTGACCCGATGCTGACGGGTATAGCCGATAACTATGCTCTTTTTGCGTTGCAGAAGTACGTTTCTCATCAACTTGGGGAATCCAAAAGTCTTGGGGCATCCAACTTTCCATGGCTTCCTCGTCTCGAAGATGATCCGAATCCCATCATTCAGCCTTTTGCTTCGGGAGATATCGAGACCTTCCAGGCGACTCAGGAATTCAGCGCGGAGAGTGATTCCCAGTGGCATTACGACGTCGAGCGATACCAGAAGACAGACACTTTGGACTTCAAGGACCAACTTCCAAAAGAATCTCAGGCTGATCTAGAGGATGCGCCCTGGTCCTTTGGCGCCACCACACCCGATTTCAAAGCACTTCGTGACAAGTTCTTGGAGGTGTTCAACGAAGCAAAACAGAAAGGCATGTCCAACCTGGGTGCATCAAAAGAATACACATGTTATCGCGAGGACAAATCCGCGTTCCCGGACGCCATAGCCTTTAAATTCGACGAAGTGCAGAGTGAATTGGACAGCTTTTGCAAGAACAAAGTCAACAACTACATGCTCGCTGGCAAGCCTCTACATCCGCGCATCTTCCAAATCGATAAGGAAGTCGAGTTGTATACACCACTCCCGGATGGTACAAAGGATCTGTCCTACTATGTCTCCCCAGGCCCTGATAGCTTCATGACAGGGAAGAACTTATCTGTATATTTCGAAGGAATACAATCTGACGAGAAAGCTTCACATTGCATAGCAACATACAACGACCTCATTACACATGTTGGTTGCTAATCTCCACAAATGCTTGCGTCCAATACTAACAAACCTAGTGCGATGGAGGAGACAGTGACGACAAATATGGTGGCTATCTCAAGATCAACGACATGATGCGTTTTTTTCCCTTGGATTTGACCGAACGATAATTCTATGACGAGTCCTCGAGGGTCACACTTAAGAACCATCATTGACGCACTTGCAGATCTTCGCCGTAGGCGCTATGACGCATCCATCAGCCCACTGGGACATACCACGGACCTTAGAATCCAAATGCACGGATTACAATGCCACGAGTGCATGGCGGGTCGCACCCTTTATCGATATCAACGATAGCGAACGTACGGGGCGGCTCTGTACGTGTTGGTTTGGTAGCAACCCCATGGGTGCAGCTATGGTCTGTAAGGCGCCGGGAAAGTCTTGCGCAGATGTTTGGAAGCAGCAAGGCGCTACCATGGGTGCTGCGGCGAACATGCGGTGCATTAGTGGGTAGCCTAGGCGGCGGGATGAGATGCTGGGGATGCACATGTATGGAGTATAAGAGTTTATCTGCACGACGCTGGAGTACATTCCGTAGTATGCGGTCTGAAAAATGACACGAACCGCGAAACATCCCAAATCTCACTAAACCAGAGCTTGAACCACCGGCCAATCACTCAATCCCATAGTCTAGTCACAACGACTCTGCTATGACAATACTCATGCTTCCACGTCCTACGCAACAGTCATCGGTGAGTATAAGATCTCGCATCGCAGTTCTCTCCTTCCTTCCTTCCTACAATCTCTCTTCGATAGATACCATCACGCGAATACCACACAGCCAACATCACTTCACATCTTTGCTATACCTGCATATCATATCTAGTTCCCTACCATTCTACAGCTATTCATCTCCTACCGCTCGTCCTACAATATGTTCAATGCCATCAAGAAAGTCCGTTCGTTAGCCACATCAGTGTTCAGACCGAATGGTCTAACCCTCACGATCTTCTTGATCCTCTCTCTCATAGCGGATGGCGCCGCGCAAAGTTCTTCGCAGGTAGCCTCAGAAGTTTCCCAGACTGCCTCGGTGGCTTCTCAGGTAGTCTCCGCTGCTTCTCAGGCTAGCCAACAAGCGTCCTCTCAAGCAGTTTCACAATCACCTTCCCAGACTCTCGCACAAACAGGCCCTCAGCCCTCGGTATCAGCGCTGCCATCAACTGCCGAGTCCATAATCTCCTTTGATGATTCATGCAAGGCTGAGCATCGAGACATGCTTGACAACGATTTGAAAGACGTTATGGACATGGCCAACGTTACAGTCAAGAGCCAAACAGCCTACACGGACAACCCAAACTTTTGGCTGTTTTTTGGCAAAAGCTCAGTCGAACACATCCCGGTCATCAAGAGTGTTTTTCCAGGCGTGCTGCAACTTTCAGAGCCAATTTCGGTGAGGTGCAACTTCGACCGCTCAGCTCCGTGTGACGACCGCACCAACTTTCCTGGCATTGCCAAGACAGTAGTTGACACACGAAAGAGGGACGGCACGCAAAGTCAACAACCGGGGCTTGTAATCTGTCGCGATTACTTTGGACTCCCTCCACTGAACCATAGGGTTCAGATGGGTATCAATTCCCCCACTAATCTTACGGCTCGATACAATTCAGGGTATTATCACGACAATCGAGGCGAGTAATTCAACAATTGTACACTTTCCGCTAGATCACTGACATCGATCAGCTACTACCTTGCTGCGCATGCTGGTCCAGTTTCTTCCTACATCGAAAGAACTAAAGCGACCCATCTCAGACCTTTGGGTTAATGTATGGCAAGATTCTCCTGGCGGAGTCAAGGAGTCGTGGTCAGCTTGCTACGGAGTACTTTGTGCCAAGGTTTTGGCTCGAGTTCACGACAGCTCTAATGACTGGGGAGCATTGAACGGCATGTTCATCATATCCTGCACAAATGCCTGTCAAGCTGATCATGTCTAGCGGACAACTATGCTCTTTTTGCACTATCCAACTATGTATCGCAGGCTATCGGCGGCACAGTTCCTTACTTCCCTAGAATTGATAATGATCCATCTTACGGCAAAATGGTCGTTCCTTTCAATAACTAAGAATCTGCCCAAATCCAAGTAAAAGGGTGGTTCCACTGGCGCGGACTTTCCCAGCCGAACTACGACCCTTCTCTACTACAACCCGATAGAGCTGAATTCGATATTGGGACTGAGCTTGACGAAGAACGAAAGGCCGATATACTAAGCGCCCCGTATTACAGAGAACTCCCGGACGAGCCCGTTAGGGGCAAAGAGGACTCATGGATCGGTACCTTTGTAGACGCCCACAAAGACCAACTACTCAATACGGATGCAACGTCCGACCGTACTTGCTTCGGTGAAGGCCATGCCCAGTTCCCAAATGCGAAAGAATTCGACGGAGAGGAGGCAGTTGGCTTTGCTCAACAGTTCTGTGAAGACATCATCAATACTTGGGACCCAGCAACCCCAATTCCACCATCTGTGCGCGATACCGCGGATTTCCGTAACGCAAGTAGGGCGTATAAACTCACAAAAACAAACGCGGACTCGCATGTTGGATTCTTCGCGGTCGCTGATCCTGCGTTGTTCATACAAGCTCGACCCACTTGGTACTTCTTTGAAGGAGCTACGAACGACACCAAAATCGACCACTGTCGCTTGACTTATAAGGATATCATACATAATGTAAGACATTAGTGCATTCCCATGGCAACATCAGTCCAGCTACTAATCAACTCAGTGCGATGCCGATCCCACCAAAAGACGTGGTGGCGTGCTCAAGCTCAACGACCGCCTCTACGGCGTCTACGTCACACCGGACGAGCGAGAGGATAAACTTCCCTGGCTCACAGATTACACTGCTCTCGGTGATCTCAAGTGTGCGAATTACAATGACACAAGCCACTGGCATATCCAAACATCCATCGAAGGTACATCAAAGACAGAGTCGCCTGTTCAAATAACCCAGCGGGAAAAATTGAGTAACATCTGCTCATGCTGGTACTCTGCTTTTCCGTTCACCTTCGATCTGTTTTGCAAAGGTTCCGCATCAAAGTGTGAGGATTTGGCGAAGGACGACAAGAGGAAAGCGGCGCTTTGGAACGATTTCGCCTGTGCATTGTAGGGACTTGCGATGTCTTCAGGGTGGCGTTGCGAGCCTGAGTTGTATCTTATAGAATGACAGGGTGTAATGTAGCTTTGCGATATCACTCAGAACCCGTCCACGCGTTAACCTAGGAAAACCGACCTACATCGACGTCAGCTTACCTACTTTGCATGGTTTTATCTTGATGTAGTCTGCACTCGTGGTATATGCTTTTTCTTGTATGAGGTGCGTCTGTCTCACGTCCGCATGACATCGACGTAGAGCTCCTTCCTGTCTGGAACGTCGTGCGTTTTAGCGTTGCGCTAGTGGAAATGATGTTCGCCGGCGTCGGCCACGCCTGCCCCTCCGTCCATCACCTCTGCACCCGCAGGTACTCACACATCACGGTTCATCAGCCACTTCACAAATGCGGATACAACAGCATCACATCTTGCCACTCGACTCAACCTCGAAAATGATGCAGGCGCCGTTGACTTCATCATACCCGCGTGCGCAGCGATTTCACCTCGGCTTGTACAACGATGGCGCAATACGGGGTCACGCTTGCAGCCACCACGCTTGCAGCCAGGTACCAGCCGTCCTTGGTTCAGGCACGGCAAACGGCTGGGCATGAGGACGCTACGAGCGGTTGTGGCAATGTGTATGCTATCCCTTATGCATCTAGTCTTCCGAGGTCGCATTGACGGATACTTGCCAACGCCTCGCGCTGATTGGAAGCTTGCATTCTAATACGAGTACCGGCAGGATGAGGGTGTAGGACCCGCTCGGAGCGACCCTTCCTTCTGATCCTTCACTGCTGCTGCGGGTACTAGTAACACGGAAAAACAACGTCCATACAGCATGAGCGAACAGCGCCAGCACATGTGTGCAGGAAGCTGTGGTCCTCCTGCAGCAGAATTCTAGGTTGATTAGTATTCGACGAGCGACGCTGGAGCTAACTGAAGTTCTACCACCGCGTATTTACCAATGGTAAAGGCCACGAGGATTGATCGCTTAGAAGCAGCTGGACCTTCTTGATCAGCGACGAACCGGCAAAGTTCCCTGACTCATAGGGATTTTCTACAAGTCTAGACACTGTCGCTACGCTCACAAGTTCAACCCTGGGGAGGTGCCAGTGACGATCACCACGACTAGCACGCATATCTACTGGCCATTTACCTGGACTACGAACAAACACCAGAATAGGTGGACTATGCCCTTGCAATTCCCGAGCTCGCCAAGAGGGTAGAACGCCAAACTACCGGCACTACAAGAAAGTCGGCGAATAAAGAGAGCCATCGCAAAAGCTCCTATCTGCTAAGCGCCCCTCGATATTAGAAGATAAAGGTCTTGGCTCTTGGCAGCGGGACACATGATGAATCAGGAAGGTATGGTAAAGAGGTGTGTATGGCTTCTGCATGAACGGATATGCCCGTGCGGGGTTATTCCCTAAGGCTGGCACATTATCCGACCAACTCGCTTATCTACCCCTACCGGATCTCTGTCGTATCTCAACCTCCTTCCTGAACGGATTCGCGTACCTGGATAGCGTAGGGGTGCTTGCAGACCGTTAACTTTGGTGTTAAGAGCTGCTACATCGATAGCTCGATGGCCTCCAGGGGCGAATCTCTTGTCAGGTGCCTGTTTGGGTGTAACACCGTGGGGGCAATGTCTTGTGAGGTGCCCTATGGGGTTTACCTTTCCGATACTCTTGAAACGTAGCACCCCGGGGTAAACATGCCTTGCAGCGGAAGAGGAAGGAGATATTCTGGTTAGCGGTCGATCCAATTTACAGCTCTTGTGAGGTGCCTTTTGGAGACTACCTTTCTGATACTGCAAGCACGTGGGACCACACCACGTAGCGGATGAGGAAGGAGGCAGCCCGTAGCCGTGTATGCGAGCTAGGGCTCTATC